GTGAGACTCCTATCTCCAATAAACCACCAGAAAACCGGAAGTGGCGCTGTAGCTCAAGTGGTAGAGCCTCGCCTTGAGCTGAAGAGCTGAGGGACAGCGCCCAAGCCCAGAGTTCAAGCCCCACGACCGACCAAAAAAAAAAAAAAATAGAATCTCACGGAGGGCTTGGAAGGTGGCTCAGTAGTAGAGCGCTTGCCTTGCATGCCTGAGGCCCTGGGTTTGATTCCTCAGCACCTCATAAGCAAAAAGAAAAAAGCCGGAAGTGGCACTGTGGCTCAAGTGGTAGAGCGCTAGCCTTGAACTGAAGAGCTGAGGGACAGCACCCAGGCCCTGAGTTCAGGCCCCACAACCGGACCCTCCCGCCCCCCTCCCAAAAAAAAGAAGAATCTCACGGACTTTTCTGCCCAGGCTGGCTTTGAATTGTGATCCTCAGATCTCAGCCTCCTCAGTAGCTAGGATTACAGGTGTGAGCCACCAGCACCTAGCTTTCCTTCCTTTTTATTCTGTTTGTGTATATGTCCTTGGGAGTATAAGGAAAGGCACAGAAATGGGGGGAAAGGGTCAACAAATGCAACAATGGTACTCACTGGACACTATATTGAAAATTAACTATACAACTTGTGGTTGGAGATAGGAGGGAAAAATTGGGAGACAGTCAAGACAGGGGTGACACTGTCCAAACAGAAATGTACTCTTTACCTGACTTATGTAACTGTAACCCCTACTGTACATCATCTATATAGTAACAATTTTAAAAAATTAAAATTGTCCAAAATAAAAAAAAAGAATGATTTGAGCTGGCATCTGGTGGCTCATTCCTGTAATTCTAGCTACTCAGGAGACTCAAATCTAAGGATTGTTCAAATAGACAAATTCCAGACACTCTTCAATTATCCCAAAATGGAGGCCTTGTTCAGTGGTAGAGCACCAGCCTTGAACAAAAAAAGCCAATCAAGAGCAAGATGCCCTGAGTAGCTGGGTGCCGGTGGCTCACACCTGTAATCCTAGCTACTCAGGAGGCTGAGATCTGAGGATCGTGGTTCAAAGCCAGCCTAGGCAAGAAAGTCTGTAAGACTCTTATCTCCAATTAACCATCAAAAAAACGTAAGTGGTGCTATAGCTCAAGTGGTAGAGCATTAGCCTTGAGCTGAAGAGCTGAGAGACACCACCCAGGCCCAGAGTTCAAGACCCATGACTGCCCCTGGCCCAAAAAGATACCCTGAGTTTAAGCCCCATTACTGGCACACAGGCGCGCGCGCACACACACACACAAAAGAATGACAATTTATCTCAATATAAATGAATACAGAGAAGTCACTACTCTGTTTAAATAAACAAACCTTGTACTGCCAGAGTACTAGTACCAGCAGATGGTTCCTGCATACCATATATAAGCTTATCCTCAGGATATGTGAGTCCCGAGCTCTTCAAAGCTGAAAGGTACTTCTCATGACTTTTCTTTGCACAAGCATTTTCTCCGAGACCTAGTATTTAAAACAAAGTTAACATCTGAAGAAAATATTCCATTCACAAGCTAAATAGAATCATCTCATGAACTTTTATACATATTAATAAGTAAATATCCTAATGGAGGAAGAACTCTGCAATTAACAATACAAAATTTATGATTATGTTTGCCATTTACAATACTAGGATATACAGAATATTTATAACAAATCTATTAGGTAACTCAAACACTAAAATATGTGAGATATTATATGTAACACATGGCAGTTACAAAGATTAATAAGGACTATCCTATAGCCTTCAAGGAACTTGAAAACCAGTAGTAAAATCAAGACAGGTAACATGATAGATGACAATTACTAAGTAGATTTCAACATTTGGTTTGACAGTTTGTGCTCTCATAACAACAAGCTTTCAGAATTCTCCAAAGCAGAGTGCTTACTTAGGAGATAATTCCTGGAGAAAATAAAGAATGAATGAAGTTTGGGGGGGTTTTTTTGGTTTGTTTTTTTTTTTGGGTCCAGTCGTGGGGCCTGAACTCTGGGCCTGGGTGCTGTCCCTCAAGGCTAGTGCTCCACCACTTAAGCCACAGCACCATTTCTGGCTTTTTTCTTTTTGCTTATGTGGTGCTGAGAAATTGAACCCAGAGGGCCTCAGGCATGCAAGGCAAGCGCTCTACCACTGAGCCAACTTCCAGCCCCAATAAATGAAGTTTTTAAAGATTATGAATGAAATTACTAGGGGTTTTTTGATGGTAAGAAAACTTGGCAGAACTTTATTGAGTAAGCAAGCAAATAAGAAGAAAAGCAGACAAACAGAAGGGCAGGGGCACATTCTAACAGAGTGTGGGTGCTCTGGAAGGGAGATAGAGAGAGACACTGAATTTTCTGTTGGTGGTGGTGGTGGTGGTTGTGGGGCTTGAACTCCAGGCTTGGGTGCTGTCCCTGCATTCTTCAGCTCAAGGTGAGCACTCTACCACTTGAGCCACAGCGCCACTTCCACTTTTCTAGTGGTTTATTGGAGATAAGAGTCTCACGGACTTTCATGCCCAGGCTGGCTTTGAACCACTATCCTCAGAGTAGCTAGGATTACAGGCATGAGCCACAGGTGCCCGGCTGAATTATTTTTAATTCCTGTTTATGCCAAGTTCTTTTTATTATCGCACTTTAGCAATTAAGAATATAATTTCTAGCTGGAGTTATAATGAGTTTAGCATTTGCTAAGCTTTTTTCTTTCTCTTTGGTAATATTAGCAATAGTTTTTGGTTGTTTTTATTTTGTTTTATTTTTAATTTCCAAACAGTTCATGTTTTCTTTAAATTAGAAAAAAAGGAAAAAGAAATGGCGCTGCAGCTCAAGTGGTAGAGTGCTAGCCTTGAGCTGAAGAGCTGACAGACAGTGCTCAGGCCCAGAGGTCAAGCACCACGACTGACCAAAATAAATAAGTAAATAAAGTTTTGCCAGGCGCTGGTGGCTCACGCCTGTAATCCTAGCTACTCAGGAGGCTGAGATCTGAGGATCACCATTCAAAGCCAGCCTAGGCAAGAAAGACCGTGAGACTCCTATCTCCAATAAACCACCAGAAAACTGGAACTGGTGCTGTGGCTCAAGTGGTAGAGCACTGGCCTTGAGTTGAAGAGCTGAGGGACAGCACCCAGGCCCAGAGTTCAAGCCCTACGATGGACAAAGAAAAAAAAGGAAAAAGACGCAGGTGGAATTTTTTTATTGCACTCAATTCATGTGTAGTTTCATCATACATATGAATGTACAAAAAAAAAACTTCAAGAGAGCTTGCTACTTCTCTATCTGAAATTTTAGGCATCCTCTGTTTATCTTGAAATATATTCCCAATAGATAAAGTGAGAATTTTCCATTATAAATTGAGCATGTGGGGAACCATTTACTAGTTCAGGATACAGAACAATGCATCTCAGAAGCCCTTTGCATACACATTTCCATAAAAAAAGGTATCTTACTTATTTGTGTAATTGCAGTACTATCCTATATCATACCAATATTGTTCATATTTCTATACATAAGTCTCTAAAAAGTATCTATCAATACTATTGGTTAAGGGTGATTTATGTCTAGGCTATATTGCTTGTTCCGTATTTCTCCATCTTTCATTGTTATTGCTATGTATTGTTTTATGTCAGTAACACAATGTATTTTCCTATTTAAGGGTTAATGAATGACTTTTTATATTTGGTGTTTACTACATCTAAATCCAAAATAAATTGTTATTCCTATCTGATTTTTCGTGCAAGAGTTCTAGTCAGTTATAGCTAAAAAATGTTAGCTTATAGAAAAATTATATTCCATATTAATTAAATGATAGAAAATGCTTACGTGCTTCCAAAGATGGTAAATTCACATCTAAGAATAAACTTTAAGGTCATTATGATTAAAAAAAAAAAAAAAAAGCTGGTAACCAGTGGTTCATACCTGTAATCCTAGCTACTCCAGGGGCTGAGATCTGAGGATAAAGGTTTGAAGGCAGCACTGGCAGAAAAGTCCCTGTGAGACTATTACTTCCAATTAACCAGAAGTGGAACTATGGCTCAAAGTGGTAGAGTACAAACCTTGAGCAAAAGAGCTCAGGGCCAGGAGCCCAGGCCCTGAGTTCAAGCTCCATGACCAATTAAAAAAAAAAAAAAGTCGGAATTACACTTGTAATTCTAGCTACTCAGGAGGCTGAGATCTAGGGATCATAGTTCAAAGCCAGCCAGCTCAGGAAAGTCTGTGATAACTATTACCTCCAATGAACTACCAAAACAAAACAAAACAAAACATAAGGGGGACTGTGGCTAGTGCTCTTTAGCAAAAAAGCTGAAGGACTGTGCCTAGACTCTGAGTTCAAGCCCCAAGACTGGTATTAAAAAAAAACCAGATTAAGCAAATGGGAATATAGCATTCCTTCAATTCAAGTCCCTTATTCAGAACCTACAAGGTCCTATAAGGAAAGACTTGAGGGCTAGGGGTATAGTTAAGTGGTATTAACATATTTCTGAGCTTAAATTAAGCCTTGGGTTCTGTTTCCATCTCTAGCATATCAACAACAACAACAAAAAAACTAAATATCTCCTAAATTTAAAAGTCATGTATCAGTGTCAGTAATAATACATACATATAATCTAATGAAATGTATTTCATTAACTACTACACCCGGAGAAAAATGAACCTGCAATCACCATTTGTATAAGTGAAAACACTAAGACATAGAACGATGAAATGTCTATGGCTATTATTCTTTTGGCTAAGATTAAGTATGGCATCTGTTCATTTTAATTTAATATCTAATAAACCCTCTATCAAGTATGATATATGAAATGGATTTTTGGAGCAGGAGATGGAATAGAAATTTGTTTCCTCCACTCCAAACATCCCTATGTTATTGCAGTACCTCCAGAAATGGTGCACAAAAATACGTGAGAGAGAAAGGGATAGGAAAGAAGGGAAGAAAGGAACAAGGGAGAAAAGGAAGAGAAAGGAGTGAGCCAGGGCTAGCCAATAAGTGGACAAGCAAAGTAGAAGTGAAGCTAGACTAAATTTCAATCTTTTCAATCAAAATCCAATTTTTTTCCATTACTAAAAGTTAAGGATGGGGCTGGGAAGGTGGCTCAGTGGTAGAGTGCTTGCCTTGCATGCATGAGGCCCTGGGTTTGATTCCTCAGCACCACATAAGCAAAAAGAAAAATAGCCAGAAGTGGTGCTGTGGCTCAAGTGGTAGAGCGCTAGCCTTGAGCTGAAGAGCTGAGGGACAGCGCCCAGGAACAGAGTTCAGGCCCTACAACCGGACCCAAAAATAAATAAATAAAAGTTAAGGATTATTGTTGGTGTTTAATTTCAGGAAATAGGAACTTTTGTAAATTGTAGAAATAAAAAGACAATTACAATAAATCATTCCTTCATGTACATACACTCCAACAATGAGTAAGAACAACTTGCTTATCTTCTTTCTCAAGAGTTGACCATTTCTGAATAATGAACCATTTTCAAGTTTAAAGTAACATATTCATATTTTAGGGGGTTGGGGAGACAGAGTCTCAATATGTAGTTCAGACAGGCCTAAAACTCATGATCCCTCCTGACTTTCCCTCACAAGTTCCAGGATTATAGGCCTATACCACCATGCTCAGTTCATGTATAAAATTTATCTGTCTACGGATTCGTTAGTATAATTCAAATACAAGCCACCATCAACTTTATCCTAGACCAATGCATCTGAGCTGCTTGCCCCCAACCAATTTATTCTGGGCAAAAGAAATCATCTTTCATAAAACATACATCTGATCATCTCACTCTTATTGTTAAAGTATTTTCATATACTGTTTCTAGTACGTTCACAGTAAGACATAAAATCTTAGCCACAGAAACCTACTTGATCTGGATCTACTCTGATAGAGTAGCCTTATTTGGGCCAACATCTCACTCTTTATTTCACTTCATCCACCTTAGATTTTTTTTTGGGGGGAAAGGGGGAGGGGAGGAAGGGTTGGTCGTAGGGCTTGAACTCTGGGCCTGGGTGCTGTCCCTGAGCTCTTCAGCTCAAGGCTAGCACTCTACCATTTGAGCCACAGCGCCACTTCTGGCTTCCTGGTGGTTAACTGGAGATAAGAGTCTCAGGGACTTAACTACCCAGGCTGCCTCCTCAGTAGCTAGGATTATAGACATGAGCCACTGGTACCCAGCTCACCTTAGATTTTTTTTTTAATGCCTTAGATAGAAATAGCCTGAGTCTCATGCATACATATTCCAACATGCTAACATCTTTGCCAAAAATCTAAGAGGCATACAGGTATAATTTTGTTTGTAATTATCCTGGTTAAATATCTTAAATCTAGGGGCTGGGAAGATGGCTCAGTGGTAGAGCACTTGCCTTGCATGCATGAGGCCCTGGGTTCGATTCCTCAGCACCACATAAACAGAAAAAGCCAGAAGTGGCTCTGTGGCTCAAGTGATAGAGCGATAGCCTTGAGCTGAAGAGCTGAGGGACAGCGCCCAGGCCCAGAGTTCAG